TTCCCCCGACGAATGCTCCCTTGCAGACGCTCCACATGGACGTGTGGGGCCCAGCCCGCGTCCGTGGTCAGGGTCAGGAGAGGTACTTCCTAATAGTTGTTAACGACTACTCCCGCTACACCACGGTCTTCCCCTTGCGCACCAAGGGTGAGGTCCCTGATGTCTTGATCCCTTGGATCCGCAGAGCCCGTCTCCAGCTCAGCGAGCGTTTCCACTCGAACTTTCCTGTCCTGCGCTTGCACTCTGACAGAGGTGGTGAGTTCTCCTCCGACCTCTTGGCAGCCTACTGTGCTGAGCACGGCATTGAGTAGTCGTTCACGCTTCCGGCCTCACCACAGCAGAATGGGGTTGCGGAGCGCCGCATTGGCCTGGTCATGGAGGTCGCCCGTACCTCCTTGATCCATGCGGCTGCACCCCACTTTCTGTGGCCGTTTGCGGTCCGGTACGCTGCGCATCAGCTCAACCTCTGGCCCCGTGTCTCCTTGCCGGAGACCTCGCCCACACTGCTGTGGACGGGGGAGGTTGGCGATGCGTCGCGTTTCCGGGTCTGGGGATCTCAAGCTTTTGTCCGCGATTCGTCTGCGGACAAGCTCTCCTCCCGTGCTGTTCCCTGCGTCTTCCTCGGCTTTGTCCCGGACGCGCCTGGTTGGCAGTTTTACCACGCCACCTCGCGCCGAGTCTTGCCCTCTCAGGACGTCACTTTTGACGAGTCCGTCCCCTACTACCGCCTCTTCCCCTACCGCATTGCCCCGCTCCCCCCCCCCCCCGCCTCTTCCTCGCGCCAGGTGCTGCTGTCGTAGACCCCCTCCCCCCTCAGGGTGCCGCTCCCTCAGGTGTGTCTCAGGAAGACCCGGTTGAGCCTGTTGAGGTAGCTGTCGACTCTCGTCCTGCTGCGGGTGCAGAGCCTGGGGGTACTGAGCCTGGGGGTGCTGAGCCTGGGGGTGCGGAGCCAGGGGGTGCTGAGCCTGGGGGTGCGGAGTCTGGGGGTGCTGAGCCTGGGGGTGCGGAGCTTGGGGGTACTAAGCCTGGGGGTGCTGAGCCTGTAGCTGCTGAGCCTGGGGGTGCTGAGCTGCAGAGTCCGGAGTCTGGGGGTTCTGAGTCTGGGGGTGCTGAGCCTCGTAGTCCTACACCTGGAGGAGCCCTCTCCTCGGAGCAGCTGCGTGAGTGGTACTTACAGTACTGCAGCCTCAGGAGAGGTACCTCTGGAGCCAGGAGTACTACTGGGACTGGTGCTAGTGCTTCTCCTCCTAGTCGGGAGCTCCCCTCCAGTGAGCGGATCCGTGAGTGGTACGAGAAGCACTGCACTCTTCGGAGTGATGCGCCTCGTGTCGCGGACCCCGCTGCTGCTGGTGCTGCGGACCCGGGCGTCGGAGCTGCTGCTGGTGCTGAGGACCCGGGCGTTAGAGCTGCGGCTGGTGCTGAGGACCCGGGCATTGGAGCTGCGGCTGGTGCTGAGGACCCCGATGCTGGTGCTGCTGCTGGTGCTGAGGACCCGGGCGTTGGAGCTGCGGCTGGTGCTGAGGACCCGGACGTTGGTGCTGCTGCTGGTGCTGAGGACCCGGGCGTTGGAGCTACTGCTGGTGCTGAGGACCCGGGAGTTGGAGCTGCTGCTGTTGCTGAGGACCCTGGTTATGGAGTCGCTGCACTCTCGCGGCCGTACTTCTTTCCGCTCCTTCGGCAGGTTCTTGGTCAGCTCCCTCCTCCTTGTCCTCCTCCCTCCTTAAGGTGTCCTCCGTCTGTCCAGCAACAGTCGCAGCTACCGTTTACCTCCTCTCTCCCTGGTCCTACTCCTTACACTGGTCCGACTGGAGGTCTTACTCAGCGTCGTAAGCCTGAGTCTCGTCCTGCGTCGCCTGAGTCTCGTCGTGCGTCGCCTGTCCGTGCAGCTCTCACTGGTAGTCGTGTCCCGCGTCAGCTTCTTCGTGCTGTCCCAGGCACTCACTGGATGGCGCTTCGTCCCTCCACTGCTCCACAGCGTGTCCCACTGCCGTCTCCTCCTGCTTCCTCTCTTCCTCCTCTTGCTGAGCCGGGGTCAGACTCCCTTCGTGCTGCCAGTCCTACTATCACGCGTCTCCTGGCTACTGTTGTCACTGACCCTTCCTTTGAGTCCGCTGCTGCGTCTGCCTTAGTTGCTGAGCTTGTCGACTTTGCTGCTACCTGTCGTCTAGACTACGCCGCTAGCCTAGTTGCTGAGTCTGAGTCTGTCTGTCCTCCGTTCATCGGGGGTTAGTGTGCTCTTGGCACTGACGTCCTTGAGGACAGGCAGGAGGAGTTTGAGTGCTTTGCTGCCGTTTTGCCCCATCTCGTGTCCATGCTTGTTGCCCCTGAGGGAGACCCGGATGCACCAGACATCCCGACCCCAAGCTCTTACGCAGAGGCGATGGCCGGTCCCTACTCCTCTCAGTGGCAGTCAGCCATGGACACAGAGATGGCTTCCTGGAAGTCCACAGGCACCTACGTTGACGAGGTTCCCCCGCCTGGGGCGAACATCGTCAGTGGCATGTGGATTTTCAGGGTGAAGCGGCCGCCGGGCTCTCCGCCTGTCTTCAAGGCGCGTTACGTTGCACGAGGCTTCAATCAGCGAGAGGGAGTTGACTTCTTCCAGACCTTCTCCCCGACCCCGAAGATGACCACTCTTCGCGTTCTGCTGCACGTCGCCGCTCAACGTGACTACGAGCTCCACTCTCTTGACTTCAACACTGCTTTCCTGCAGGGCAGCCTGCACAAGGAGATCTAGCTGCGCCGCCCACCTGGCTTCACTGGGTCGTTCCCTCCTGGTACCCAGTGAAGCCTCCGACGGCCAGTCCACGGTCTCCGCCAGGCGCCACGTGAGTGGCACGACACAGTGAGGACTACACTTGCGGCTCTTGGGTTCGTGCCTTCTACTGCTGACCCGTCGCTGTTTCTACGCACCGACGCCTCACTGCCGCCGCTCTACATCCTCGTGTACATCGACGACTTGGTCTTTGCCACTGGTGACACTGCGGCACTCGCCCACGTGAAGTCGGAGCTGCAGAAGAGACACACGTGCACAGACCTGGGTGAACTGACAAGCTATCTTGGCTTGCGGATCACCCGGGACAGAGCACGCCGCACCATCACCTTGACTCAGTCACACATGGTGCAGCAGGTCCTTCAGCGCTTCCGCTTCACGTACTCCTCGCCTCAGCCCACTCCTCTGCCTACTGGTCACTCGCTCTCTGCTCTGCCTTCGGATGAGTCCGTAGAGCTGAGTGGCCCGTATCCAGAGCTTGTGGGTTGCCTCATGTACCGGATGACCTGCACTCGACCTGACCTTGCATACCCTCTTAGCATTCTTGCACGCTATGTCGCTCCCCGCCGTCACCGGAAGGAGCACATGGATGCAGCTAAGAGGGTGTTGCGCTACTTGTGCAGTACGTCGCGCATGGGGCTAGTGCTTGGAGGGCGTGACCCAGTTGTTCTCACTGGGCACTCAGACGCTTCTTGGGCAGGCGACAAGGCTACTCAGCGGTCGTCTCAGGGTTACTCCTTCAGTCTTTGCTCTGGTTCAGTTTCTTGGCGTTCTACTCGCTCTTCTTCTGTTCTCAGCTCCAGTTTTGAGGCTGAGATCTACGCCACAGCCATGGCGGCCCAGGAGCTACGCTGGCTCACCTACTTGCTGGCCGACCTCGGAGAGCGGCCTCGTTCTCCTCCAGTGTTGTACGTCGACAACAAGGCAGCCATTGCCTTGTGTTAGGAGCACAGACTGGAGCACAGAACGAAGCACATTGCTCTGCGCTACTTCCTTGCTCGAGAGCTGCAGCAGCGTGGTCAGCTTCGTCTGTGTTACGTGGCCTCTGAGGCCAACACTGCTGATGTGTTCACCAAGGCGCTTCAGCCTTGTGACCATCAGCGCTTTTGCACTCTTCTAGGCCTTGTGCCTACTAGACCTCACTTGCTTATTTCTTGGGTCTGTTTGTACTGTGATCTCTATATATATATACCTGCATGTTTACTCTTGCTAGGTTGTGATCTTTGTACCTCTTGTTCTATTATAAACCTGCATGTGAGCTGGTCTTGTGACCACTTTCTTGTGCTCGGAATTTGTGTGATATCCTTGAGATCCACCCTGAGCTTGTTTTGCCTTGCTTTGCCTTGACTGGTCTTGTGACACCTAGCTCTCCCCCACTTCGCCTATGGGGGTGTGTCAAACATTATATATGTTGTGCTTGTTTAGGCTACAGTGGGTTAGCCTATAGGGGGTACACAATTCTAGGGTTAGGTACTTGTACTGATTTCATTGTTAGTTCAATCATTCCTGTTCATTCATTTTAACACTCTACACCTCGCCGTTGACCGAAGCAGACCCCCCGTGTGTATCATGCGTCGGAGGAAAGCTGGCGCGGCACACCTTCCCCGACAAGGGCTCGCACGCCAAGGAAGCGCTGGCTGTCGTGCACATTGACTTGTGCGGGCCATTTTGGGTGGCTGCCAAGGATGGCAGCTTGTACTTTCTGCTGCTGAAGGATCGCCATACTCGGTTCGTGTGGGTGATGCTGGTCGCTAAAAAGAGCGACGTGCTGCAGGAGTTCCAGAAGTTGCTGGTGCTGATGGAATGGCAGACGAAGAAGTCGGTGCTGTCACTTCGCTCCGATCGAGGAGGGGAATTCCTCGGTAAGGCGTTCACCGACTTCGTCGACGGGAAGGGCATCGTCCACGACCTGACGTGCCCCTATACTCCGCAGCAAAATGGCATGGCTGAGCGGGAGATGCGCACAGTCGTCGAATCCGTGCGGACGATGCTGCTGCACATGGGCGTGCAGCACCACTGGTAGCACCTCTCTCTACGCCAAGTAGTCTGGGTGCACAGCTGCTTGGAGCAGTCAACGACGCCGCCGGGGACGACTCCGTACCAGCTGCTGACCGGGCAGAAGCCCGACCTTACGCTGGCGTGGGTGTGGGGCTGCATGGTGCAGTTCATGATTCCCGAGCAGCAACGTGGTGGGAAGTTGGCGCCGAAGGCTCGCTGGGGACTTCACATGGGTGCGTTGCCGGAGAGCAAGGGCTGGGAGGTGCTCAACCTGACCGACAACAAGGTGGTCACGTCGGTCGAGGAGATCTTCTACGAGACGTTGTCATTGGAGGTGTGGAAGTCGAAGTATGGGCCGGCGTCAGGGCGGACGCAGGCACACCCGCCGACGGACACCTCCACGGCGACGGTTCCACTGCTCGCCGAAGTCGATGAGCCTACTGATGAGGATGTTGTGGAGGTTCTTCCACCTCCCCCTATTCTTGCTCCTCCAAATCCTGTCGCAGATCGGCCTACTTCGACACCTATGTCGGCCACCGGCGATGAAGGGAGCCTTGTGGCCTCACCTGTGGCGCCGGCCAGTGGCACCGCCGGCAGTAGACAAGACACCAAGCTCATTGACTACGATGGGAAGTCGTCAACGACAGGGGGGCACCAAATAGGGGAGCCGGTCGAACAGGAGGCAACAGCAGGGGTACACTCGACAGGGGAGCAGCATCCGGAGCGGTCGACAGGGGAGCTGACGAAATTAGCAGCACACGAGCAGCCGGTCAAAGGGCTGAAGCAACTGGTCGACGACGATGACGTCGACGAGGAAGGGGAGCAGTCGGCGGGTGAGGAGTCCACCGACAGCCACGTGGTGGAAGTGCCGATCACGAAGCCTGAGCTGCGATGCACAGGTCAAGCTCGACGGCCAACGGAGCGGCTGAGCTTCCACGCCTGCCTACTGCCAGCTGCCTTCACCATGGTGTTCGACGCGGTCGACGACGACCTGTTGTACGACGACGCCGAGGAGGATGAAGACCTCCCGGAGCTCAACCCTGACGTGCATTCCGACCCCGAACACCGCTGGGACATCACCACGATGACGGTGAAGGAGGCGCTGTCGAGCTGGAAGGGCGAGGCGGTGAAGGCCACCATGGAAGAAGAGATCCGCGGCCTCATCGGTATGGGGACTTGGGAGCTGGTCGAACGCCCACGCGGGGTGAACATCATGAAGAACCGGTGGGTGCTGATGACCAAGTACCGCATCTACGACACCGTTGAGCACAAGAAGGCGAGGCTAGTCGTGAAGGGCTTTACGCAGGTGTACGGCGCCGACTACAACAAGACGTACTCGCCGGTGAGCCAGGTCGACGAGGCGCTCTATTTCAAGGCCGGCGACGACGGAGTGACCTGCTGGGTGCTGGTCTACGTCGACGACCTGCTCGCCGCCAGCAGCAGCACCGCGATGCTGAAGGAGCTGAAGGAACTGCTGGAGGCCGCCTTCGAGCTGCGTGAGATCTCGCCGGTGGTGAAGTACCTTGGGTTGGAGATCGTGCGCGACAGGCCGGCCAGGAAGTTGTGGCTGCACCAGTAGGGCTACGTTGACAAGCTGCGCAGGCGCTTCATCGACGAGGAGCAGGGCGGTCAAGTCCCGAAGACGCCGGTCTCGGTTGACGCCTACGCTCAGCAGGCGTTCGACGACGACGAGGCTCAGGAGCGCGAAGAGGAGGAGTACCGGCAGAAGGTCGGCTCGCTGCAATTCGCGGCGACGACGACGAGGCCGGACATCGCGTTCGCCTGAAGCAAGCTGGGGAGCGGCCTCACGGTGAGGAGCAACCAGCATTGGCACGAGGTCGACAGCTGCCTCGCCTACCTCGCCGACACCCGCGACACCGCCCTGGAGTTCGGCGGTGGACCAGAATCGTTGGAGCTGATCGCCTACGTCGATGCCGACGACGCGGGCGACAAGCAGAACCGGATGAGCACGGGAGGCTACGTGTTCGTCTACGGAGGGGCCGCCGTCTCCTGGTTGAGCTCATGCATCAAGTGCGCGACATTGTCATCGACCGAGTCGGAGAACGTGGCGTCCACGGATGCCGGCAAGGAGGGGCGTCGACTTCGCTTCCTCCTTGCGGAATTCAAGCTGCTCCACGCTGAGAAGCCGACCATCCTCCACGTCGACAACAAGTCGGCAATCACGGTCGGTGAGGGCTTGGGGCTCACGAGCAACCTCAAGCACATGGAGCGATGTTACGCCTGGCTGCAGCACATGGTGAGGCACGGGAAATTTGTGCTGAACTACATCCCGACCACCGAGCAGCCGGCGGACTTCCTGACGAAGGCGCTGCATTTTCCGGCTTTGAACCGGTGCTATGTCGCCATCGGCCAAGTTCGTCTGGCCGACATCGACGACGGCGATGACGAGGTGCAGCAGTAGGCGCCGTGCCCTTCTGCACGGCTGGTGCGGTGATGGCGTGCTGTGTGTGGGGTGTACGCCAAGGACGAGTTTTCTCCTTGGAGTACTGCCATGTGGCCTCGAGGCCCAAGCGTGAGCGCGGCAAGGGAGAGTTAAGAGGAATGGATTATTGACCCTGCCCTCGCTTGGGCAACGCCGACGACTTGGTCGGATGTATGGGAATAGCAGCCGACCGTTCACAATGGGAGAGCTGCTCAACAGGCATCGTCAAGCTGCAGGGGACCGCTGTTGTGCTGATGTCGGCCAGGAAGCTTGACAACTGCAACTAACTGGTCTGGACGACGGGTGGGCCGTCGATTAGGAGGGGCAGATCGACCGGGAGGTCGACGGAGCAGTCCGTCGACCTGACAAGTGAGCAGCGGTCGACGAGGGGAGCTTGGCGACAACCGCTGGCGGTTCTGGTTGACGAAAGGGGTCTGTCGACAAGGGGGTTGCTCGACGGGAGTTTTGGTCGACCACAGGCACTTGGTGGTCGACCAAAGGGACCCAGTGGTCGAGTGGAGCATCTAGGGGTCGACCAGGTCGACTAGGAACCTGTTCGACGAGTTCTGCGGAGGCACGCGAACGCCGTCAACGTCGCAATGGCGCAGGCGACTTCAGACTCGTATCCCAAAGTCGATGTGGTTCGTCAGGCGCAGACAACAGCCGACAGATGCCCAACAAAGCAAGTCAGGCCAATCGTGTACGCACATCTGCAAGCGTGCGCACTGCTGTGTTCTACGGGGCAAAACTGGACAGCCGCTCTCCTACAGCGTTGGCACGCGGTCGACCTGCTCTGTTGGCAGGTTGCCCATCTGCAGTGCTGGCGCGGCTCCTCTACACAACGCTGGTAGGCGGTCGACCGAGCTGTGCTATCGGTTGACCGGGCTAGCTGCAGGGTTGCTAGGTGCCTGATGTAGTCATTGTTGCCATCTCTTATTCAATCATTCTGTAATCTCGACTTTGCCTAGTGGAAACTCTTGCCGATTTCTCCCGTGAATGCGCAAGAACTAAGGAAGTAAGCAAAGCTACGATCACCTCTAGTAGTTCGTGACAACCCCCGTAGTCTAGCTCACTACCGTTGTAGAGTGACTCTCCGCAGTAATCCCGTCGTGTGCCTCCTGTAGTAACAGTTCCCTCAGTAGTGAGTACGCGGGTACCCAGATGCGGTTGGTGCCTGTTTTTACGTAATAGACTCCTTTTGCTTCTGCCAGTAGCTTTGAATTTCCAGTCGTGAAAAATGGGTCTGTACTGTCTCCGTGGGTGAATAGGCCTGTTAGCAGTGGGTTGGTTTGGGCGAGTAGGATGGCGTGGAGCTGGGTGGTGGGGCGGGTGAGTGCGACGGCGATGTTGGACGCACCATTTTTGTACGTGACCGTGTGGTGGAAGTTGGACTCCACGTAGTTCAACCAGCGGATCTGTCGTGGGTTGAGATTCCGTTGGGCGCGAAGGTACTGTAGTGATCGGTGGTCTATCCGTACTATCACGTCTGCTCCCGTGAGGTAACATCGCCACACCTTGAACGCGTGCACGATCGCCAGCATCTAGCGGTCGTGTATCGGATAGTTGCGTTCGGGCGGGTGAAGCTTGTGGGACTCGTACGCGATTGGCTAGAGGCCGTTCCCGAAGTCCTACAACAGTACTGCTCCCATTGCAATGTCGCTAGCGTCGGTGACGAGCTCGAACGGACGGTGCGGATCTGCGATGTGAAGCACGGGCGGTGAGCACAAAATCTTTTTGAGGGCTGAGAAGGCAGCTTGCTCTTTCTCCCCCCACGTGTACTCAACCCCCTTCCTCAGAAGGTCGGTCGACGGGGCAGTCAACTTTGCCATGTCGGGGACGAACCGTCACATAATTGACGAACCCCAGAAAACTCTGCAACTCGGTCAAGTTGGTCGGCGCGTGCCATGCTTGAATCGTCGCAATCTTCTTCGGGTCTATTTCCACTCCATCAGCTGAAATGATGTGTCCCAAAAACTCCAGTCGGTCCTGTAAAAACTCACACTTAAATGCTTTGGTCAGTAGGTGGTTCTCACTAAGTATTTTAAAAACTGCTTCGATGTCCCGTAGGTGCTGTGTTCTGTCGGGGCTGTAAATCAGTATGTCGTCGAGGTACACAATGACGCACTTATCTAAAAGCGGGCGGAAAGCTTCGTTCATGGCCATTTGAAAGGTGGCGGGGGCGTTGGTGAGTCCGAAGGGCATGACTGTGTATCCGAAGGATCCATAGTGTGTTCGGAAGGCTGTCTTGGGGCAATAGAGTGGGTTGACGCGAATCTGGTGGTAACCTCCTGTCAGAATGTTATAATTGTCCAGCCTGCAGTGGGGTACTCTATAGCGAGTACAACCCAATTAGGGTGTCCTATATGTATGCCAACTGCTGCTAGTGCAACCCCTCTCTTCTTCATTCCTCATTCTTCACATGCTATCAGAGAATCTACGCTCCTGGCCTGTGGGCCCACCTAACTGCTTCCGCTGCTACTCTGTGTGCTGCACGCCCCACCTAAACCCCTTCGCGGCCCCGTTGCCGCCCTTCCAGGCCCCTCGCGGCCCATTCGCGGCCCCGTCACCGCCCCTAAAGGCCCCGTCGCCGCCCCAATCGGCCCCGTCGCCGCCTCCAGCGGCCCCCTCGCGGCCCCTTCGCGGCCCCGTCGCCGACCTTTCAGGCCCCTCGCGGCCCCTTTGCGGTCCCGTCGCCGCCCCTCGCGGCCCCTTCGCGGCCACGTTGCCGCCCCTATTGGCCCCGTCACCGCCTCCAGCGGCCCCGTCGCCGCCCCTTGCGGCCCTGTCGCCGCCCCTTTCGGCCCTGCCTCGACCCTGCCCCGGCCCCGCCCCGGCCATGCTCCGTCGCCTGTCGCGGCGCACCGGGGACACGTGCACCACCCCCCCCTCTTTTCCAGTCGCCTGACGAGGCGACCTGAGGGGGCCGCGGCGTCGCCCCTTCTGCCGCCTGTTTTGGTGCCCTGGGAGGCCGCACGTCACCCCCCCCCCCCCCCCCCGTAACCTCCCTACCCGTCGCCCGGCCCTGCCCTTTGTTAGGGTTTGGGGGTGGTGAGTAGGGGGTGGCGGGTCTATGGTCTCCCCTGCTCCTCCTCCTCCTCTGTCTCCCGCTGCTGCAGCTACCGCTGAGGGGGGTGGGTGTGTGGGAGTCGACGGAGTGGTGCTAGGGGGTGGGGTGTGAGTGAACCTAGGGTGCAGCAGGGGGTGTGTAAAAGGGGGGTGCTGTGGGAGTGGAAGTAGGGTTTGAGCAGGGGGTGTGTGTCGAGGGGTGTGGGGCAGCTGGAGGAGGTTGTGTGGAGGTAGCTGTCGTGTCGCCTGCAGCGCCTGTAGTCCGTCGCCCTTGCTTCGGTAGCCAGTGAGCCTGTTGCACCAGTCGCCAGTGGGTCTGTTGCTCCTGCAGCTCGTCTATAGCCGCGGAGCCAGTTACTCCAGTAGTCCGTCGCCCTTGCTTCGGTAGCCAGTGTGTCAGCCGCTCATGTGCCCGTGCCTCTGCAGCTTCAGTCGTTGCCTCCCATCTTCTCTCCCTCCACAGTTCCTCCTCCTCCTCACTTGCCCGTTGTGATGAACTCTAGCTTTGCTCGCTATTGTGAACTCCTGCTCTATGCCTGCTTGCTCATTGTGCTGATTACACCCCACTTTAGCTATGGGGGCGTGTCAAAATGCTATAATTGTCTAGCCTGCAGTGGGGTACTCTATAGCGAGTACAACCTAATTAGGGTTTCCTATATGTATGCCAACTGCTGCTAGTGCAACCCCTCTCTTCTTCATTCCTCATTCTTCACACCTCCTCTAAGGTCAATTTTCGAGAAAACTCGGGCTGTGCGCAGTTGGTCGATCAGTTCGTCGGCTTGTGGGATGGGGTAATGGGGTTTGATGGTAACTATGTTCAGTGCCCTGTAATTTATGCACATGCGAAAACTCTTTGGCGTGAACAGTATCGGTGCTGCGAAGGGCGGCAAACTCGGGCAAATGAACTCCTTTTCAAGTAGGTAATCCAGCTGCTTCCTCAGTTCATCCAGTTCGGGTTGGGTCAATCGGAACTGTCGCTGTACTGTCGGCTGTGCCCCCGGTTCTCGTTCTATCCTGTGGTCATGCGGTCGCTGAGGTGGCAGTCCCGTCGGCAGATCGTCTGGAAATAT